TCAGGTATTGTAAGTCAGTAGTGAACTCCCTCGCCTTCGCAGAGCCCAAGATCTCCTCATACGCCTGATGGAAAGCTGACTCCTTTCCTTGTTGATCGGTGATGATCTGTCCTCTGACCGAGATCGCCGGGATGAAGTTATTAGCCTTCCTCCCGTTCGCATACAGCTGGAAGAATTTAGAGTTTGCATCGCCCTCCCGAAGCCATTTAATCCGAGAGCGTTGCCTAGCAATCGTTCTTTCCAGCGAAGCTAGGCCAAGTAAGGCCTTTTTCAAAACCCCACGGAGCCATCTCTCCTCCGTAGTCAGGCTTCTATCGTCCATGGCCTTATCAAATAGCTTGATGACCAACCTCGTGGTTGCCATCTGAATTTTGACATTGCCAATCTTTTTCTGCCCCCAAGCCATGAAAAATTTGGCAGTGTTCCTAAGAAGCTCATCAAGGCGCTTATATGGATCCGAGATGCCCGGCTCGCAGACCCAGGCCTCCTTCATAGCCTCCTCAAAACCCTCAATATTGGTCCAGAACACTTCAAACCTAAAGCGCCTAGGAGTGAGAATGTGATCCTCCAACGTGAGGTGTAGGGGGCAATGGTCAGAAACATCCGTGGACAGCGCTTGTAACACACAATTAGGATATTCCAGCTCCCAATCAACCGAAATGAGAGCGCGATCGATCTTGGTGAGGGTGGCAAGCTCTCTTTCATTACTCCAAGTAAATTTACACACATGTAGGAAAATTTCTTTCAGTTCCATGTTGTCGATAAAACGCCTAAATCATCACATCATTCTCCTGTCGATGTTGGCGTTGCTCTTGTCAGAAGCGCAAAGGATGAGGTTGAAATCGCCAATTACCATCCAAGGTCCCGGGAAAAGTGCACGCCTTGCCACCAACTCATCAAGAAAGGCAATTTTCTCCGCGTCCTCCTGTGGTCCATACACCACCGATATCCACCAGGGCGATCCCACCAGGGGAGTAACATAGCTCGTGATGAAGTTTGAGTCATTGACTAGGTTAGATATGTGGACAAGACTAGACTTCCACGCTAGCAAAATGCCTCCACGTGTCACATTGGCCGGAAGATAAGCGAAGCCATCATACGCCGGCCCAAGACATTGCAGAACAGTAAAGCGATCCACCACGGCCAATTTGCTCTCATGGATACAAATGATATCAGCCTTAATAGAGTTAACAAATTCTCTAAGGGCCTTTTTCTTGGCCGGGCTATTAAGCCCTCTCACGTTCCAACACACCAACTCCACATTGTTGCCAGACATCAAGAAGTCTAGCATCCAAAAGGCGCACGTCAAACTGACTCACGCGGCGCCCACCCTAGTCTCTCCATCCAGCCTCTCCAAGTCCAAAGGAATAGACTTGCCAAAGATTGCTGCAATCGCTCGAAGCTGTCGCTCATGGATCGGTGAGTCAAAGATTTCTTTGAGCAATCCCATAGCACCGTCCTGGACCGCAAGATCATCCTCCGCAACACCCAGAGTCTTGAGAAGCACCACTTCAGCCACAGAGGTCTTTTGTTTCCTTGGCGCTGTAGTGCTCACCGAGCGGGTGGTGCGTCTAGGAGTGCATGGCTCCTGTCCCAATTGCACCCTTTTGACAGCTTCAATCTCCTTGAGAAGAGGTGGTGCTAACTTCCTAAGCAGTCCCGCATAAAAGGACTTAAGTTTTATCATCGCCACTCTTTCTTTGTCCGTCAGGCAATGCACCACCTGATCGCCATCCCTCGCGCCAGGAAGCACGATCAACTGATCCCTGGGAGGTGTGGTGCCCAGCGCCAACACGTTGCATGTGTGTGTCGCATCCTGCATGCCCGCCAACAATAGGTTGCATGGCGGGGTCACATCCATCTGCGAGAGAATCTCCTGGGCCCCACCCGCTGGCACCAACGTGGAAGTGGCCGACAAGATTTCTTCCACTGGGGCCCAGCCCGCAGTGGGGGAGCAGAGGGCAGCAGCATCTCGATTACTGGCCTCATCCCCACCCTCTTCCAGCGACACATGACCAATCCCCGTCTCCACTGGCGGGGCATCAATCTGCTTTGCCCCCATCGACTTGTCGCTCTCCACCACCCACGCCTCAGGCTCCGCAATGATTGCCGCAATAAGGTTGCCCGAAGAACCCACCACTTCCGCCTTGGGATCCTGAGGGCCACCGCCACTGTCTCCTTCCAGAACCACCTCACCTTTGTCGGCCTCCATAGATGGCACGACCACCTTCTGATTGGCCAACGGCGAGTGGATAGAGGGAATCTCCATCGCTGCTGGCGCAACCACCACATCCATCTCGGGTCCCACACCGACTGGAGGCGTCACCCTTGCCAGTGGGACAGCTCTCTCCAGCACAGGATCTGCAACAACCAGAAGCCGTGGGGGTGCCGCCGTGGCCTGCGCCTCGGCAGCCACAGTACGGCCACCAAGATCCAGTGTGCCAGCCAGGGATGCTGGCACCACCAAAGTCTCTGTCTCGAAACCCGGGGCTCACCGGAGTTGCTGATCCGGTTAGCCGGCACACCTGCCAACTGCTTGATGCCGACTCCAATCGCCGGCAGCCGCCAGTTGGATTCACCCAACTTGCCCATCAAAACCTGTCTGAAGGATCTGCCAGTGGCGCCAACTCCGGTAGCCCCAGACGCACCACCACGGTCATCCCTCTGGCCTCGCGTCCAAGGCAGCACCTGGCGCTCCCCTCCTCCTGAGAAGTCGTCAAAATCGTCCGGCAACCCACTCTATCCGCTACTGCCGGAGCTTGCCGAAAGGCGCCAGTTCTCCGGGGCGTTGAAATCCCACAGCCTTCCAATATGGATGAGCGTCGAGTACTCCAGGAATTGGCGAGACGTAGCACGCCGCTGCCGTGCATCTTCCAATTCCGGTTCAGGGATCCACAGCCGCTTGTCCACCGGGATATCATCCGGTTGCACACACCAGGCACGCACCTTGAACAGCGACAAATCCGATCTTTCCGCTGTCTCTGGCGCCAAGCTGTCAATTTTGCAAGCGTTTCCCAGAATCTCTGCAGTCGTATCTTGAGACCACGCATGCGAAGGAATTCCTTCAACCATGAGGTCCACCTGCACCCTCATTGCCTTGGCAGTAGCTTTGCGCTGCTGCAACCAAGGCATAAAGAAAAGCTGGAAGCTTCCATTGTCAACCGGGAGGGAGCGGAGGGCGATGTTGTGAAGCTCCGGGGTGGCAAAGACGATCAAGAAATCCTCCGGCTGGAATCGATGAACAGAGAAGCGGTGACGCGGAATCTCCAGCTGCACCGAAATGGCCTCCGCCGCCTCCTCACAGGAGATCGACGACCGCACACCACCAATGTATGCCACCACTGCCAGCCGAAGACGTCGCTCCATATCATCCATCTCCGGGGAGCGTTGGAGCACGCAGATGCCCCCCGAAGAAGCCTAGGCTGCTGGCCATGCTGAGGACAAAGGCTCAGCCGCCGCCGGCGAGGGAGGCACCACAGGTACCTCCTGCCTGGGCGCCGGTGAGGTCTGTCGCCCAGCACCAGCCAGCACCACCGACGGGTCCAGGCGGCCCATCTTGGACAGGACCGATCGGATCAGCTCCCTCTCCGAGGCAGGACTCCGACGACGCTTGCATTGTAACGATTCATGACCTTCCACACCACAACGGTAACACATGGGACGGTTTGGGCAATCTTGCTTCTTGTGGTCGTCCCCAAAACACTTAAAGCAGAGACCTTGCAGCTTGATCGGGAACTCCCTCCGCTCCCACGAAGAAGACGGCGAGGGAGGAGCCCTGCGAGCAGATGGGCCAGCCTCCTGCTGACGCCGAAGAGCACGCCGACGGCGCCACATCTCCTTGCTGGTGGGCCTGGGGCGGCGGAATCCATCCACCGGAGCCGCCGACGGGCCAGCCACCTGCTGGCTCGCCCCGCCGGAAGACGTAGCGCGACTGGATCCAGGGGACCCCGAGAGGCCCAGACCGGAAACCACCGGCTGCGGCCGAGGAAACGCCGAAGAGACCGAAGGCGGGCTGGAGGAACCGTCCGCCATCGCCGGAGGAGGTGGCCGCCGCGACCGGAGTGGTCCGCGGCGGGGGGAGGTGGACGCCGCGGCCGGAGTAGCCGGCGGCGGGAGCGGGGGGAGGGGAGCGCTAGGGCCTAGGTGAGAGCGCTAGTCATTCTTTTTTCACACAAACTCAACTCTATTTGTGAAAGATTAAACATGAAAAGAAAATATCATATTCCCAAGTTGGGCAAATTGCATCTCTACATACCATTCTGTTAATGCATTTTCGTACGACTCAATAATGATCCGAAAGCTACATGGTAGTAGTAGTAGCTTTGGACGAGTTCCTAGAAAAAGAAAAAGAAACGCACTGCACACACACACGGCAGAGTGCAGACGACACGATGCTCGCTCAAACCTCTCAAACCGCGTCACCACCGTTCCTCCTCCCCCTCGTTGCCGAGTCAAATCCCCACCCCACCCCCTCCCCGGCCAAGTCTTCGCCCTCCGTCTTCCCCGACAATAATATGATCTCTCTCTCCCCCCTCGCCTTCCTCGGTCTCATTCTCTCCCTGTCCAAATATCCATCCAGGACAGCGCCCCTCTGATCCGCCCTCCTCCCCTCGCGAGGCGGCCACGCCATTTTTATCCAGGTATTTGTTCCCCAGATCACTTTCTTTATTTTCCGTGATCAAGAAATGGTCTTTTCTCGACTCCTTGATGCGCGATTCTAGGCTAGTAATGGGGGCTGAGGCTGTGGCTCGCGCGAATTGCGGCGGATACTAACCGCGCTCCGCTGACTTTTCCAGTTCTTGATCCGTGATCCTCCCCGCCGCCCCTTGCCAAGAAGCCGCCGCCGGTCGCCGGAGAGGAGGGCCGGCCTGAATCGCTGCCGGATTCCGTTCTTGTGGGCTGGATCCTGTCGGAGAGTGCCCCGGTTCTTGCGGTTCGGAATTGGGGCGAGTTGTCCGTACGAAGGGTGAAGCTGTCGCTTCGGCCTTCGGGGGCTTTTGATGAATTCTCGCCGATCCAGGTCTGTGAAGCTACTGTCGTCGCGCGCCAAGCCCCTGAAGGTTGACGTTGCAGAGGAGGACCCGCGGATGAGCTCGTCGGCCGACAACACGGTGTACTGCTGCATTGCCAAGGGGAACAAGGTCATATACAGCTACAGCAGCAAGGATGGTGACTCGCAGACCGAGGCCACGGCGGCGCTCTGCCTCGAGAACGTGCCTCCCTACCACCGGCATTACATCCACACTTCGGGGTCGAGGAGCTACGGCTATCTGATGGCAGACGGGCACACCTTTTTCGCAATCATCGACCCGAGCGTCGGGAATGTGGGTGCCTTGCAGTTCCTGGAGCGTGTGCGGGATGAGTTCAGGAACACGAATAGGAATGGGTTCCATGACGCGCTGGTTCCGGCTGTCCAGAGGCTGGTTGCTTCACTGGAGAAGATGCCCCGTGCCGCACTTGTTCCTGAGGGTGGTGCGCAAAGGGGAGGGTCGAATGGCAGCTCGGGCTGCACATCGTCGAAGGCGCCTCTTCTTGGAAAAGGCAGTGGCAGGAAGGATAAGAAGAAGGCAAAGGAGAAGGGGATGCCTATGGGGGATGGCGACGATGAGCACCATGGCACAAGAGGTTTGAGAATTGATGTGCAGCCAGAGGATGTTGGGGGCATGTCATTGGAGCGCAGCACAAGCCAATCCAGGCTACGGAGGCAGCAGTCGTCGCGGTCACTGTGGATGCGCCATGTGAAGATCATCATCATTGTTGATGTTCTCGTTTGTGTGGTATTGTTTGCTGCTTGGCTTGCCGTCTGCAAGGGTTTCCAGTGTGTGTCCGGGTGATTTATCTTGTTGTAGCTGCTGGGGGATCAAGAAGTTTCAAAATGCAGTGAGTTTTGGTATGTTCCTTTCCAGAAAGGTAGATATAAGCCAAGAAAACGGTAATGGAGGGGATTTGAACCACGCCTAGCAATATGTTCAGGATCAGATGATGAAGAATTGAGGTTTTTTCTGGTGAAGATGTACATATGCTTCATCTCTTGTACATGAGATTTCGATATTATTTTTTCACAGACGTGACGTTTGTGGTCTTTCTGTAGTATGAGTTCATCTTGTGTTTATATTTTTGCTTTCGTTGATACTTGTGCAGATGTTGTGCCTAATTTGTTTCATTGCCCTCCATTCCATGACCTTTTAGTGGATTTCTGCTCTTACAAAGAGTTCAGTTCTGAGTTCTGATAGGTTGTGAAGTTGTGATAGGTTTAGATGCTCGGTAAGTACTATTTTCACACCTTGATATGAAAATGATCCTTGCTAGATAAGGCCACATTAGGTTAATTCTGCAGGACTGGTCATGGATTTGTTGTCCCCAGTACCTGAATAAACATGTAAATAATCTTTTGTATACATAGATACACACTGATCAATACTCTGAAGAGTTAGGAGCAGTTGTTTCCTGAAGATGTGAAATCCATGCAGGTAAGATCTGAAGTTATTCAATATTGTCTTGGCTTGGGGTTTTTTATCAGCTGCGTATAGCTGCAACTAAATAATCAGTCCGAAGCTCGTACTTTGGTATGGTGTAGGAGCGTGAAAACAATCACTTTTTAGTCACAAGTGGTACATGACGCGGATGCACATTGTCATTTTCAAATACTATGATGATTATATATGTGAAATCAGTGAAAACAATCGTATCAAGCAATCAGTGGTACCTTTTTCTCCTTTTTCTTCGGAAATACTACCTCTGTAAAGAAATATAAGATCGTTTAGATCACCTAAAGATTCTTATATTTCTTAACAGAGGGAGTACCTACCTGTAAATTTATTGAAGCACGACACCAATTACATCACAATGCTTGGTATCAAAGATGGCCTACACTTCTATGGTAATAATAATTTTGAAAGATGATATTCTCCCGAGACTTCAACAAAAACACTGCAATTAGACTGGGACAGCGACACCGTCACTCGTACACATGCATGAACTGATTAAAAATACAAGTAGCAGAGAGCCACTTGATTTGCCAATCCAAAAAGAGGTAAAGCCATGAGAGATGACCGGAGTTGGACAGGGAATGTTTCTGTAGAAGAGTGTAGGCCATCGAGCCACAAGACCTTTATTCTATTGCAGAAGGAAAGATTCCAGCTCCATGAAAAATAAAATCAACAAAAACAACAAAACACACTGACAAAAACTCAACAGATCTGAAAGATCGGTTCAGCAAGACACAAACCTAAACTCTGCAAGAGCAATTGCACTGAATATGCGGAGGAAACATAATTCTAACTCCGTAACATCAACCGGTAAAGCATCGCCGCAGAAGGAGGAGAACTAGACGACCTTTTATTTTCAATGACAAGGTGCCCACCGCAAGAACGCTACTATTGAGGACTACAAAATTCATCTCAAGACGACATTGTTTTTTTCTTCAAGGGGTGATCGAGCAAATTCTGGTGGGGGTTGTGCTTCTTAATGGGGGAGTTGGAGTGATCTCCGCAAGGAATACTCCTTAATTAGTGATTTCGGCCATATGCCTGCCCTGAGTGAAGTCTCGAAATCGAGACCTCCTCGTCGGCGCCTTCGGCGCCTGTAAGGAGTTTCGGAACCTACGTGCTTTTTTCATGGGCTGCATTGTTGGGAGCCCACTCGTTTTTTCTAGCTGTTTCATTCTGTTTGAAGCTGATTCGTGCTTGATGTTGTCGCTGCTTTGTTCTTTGACTTCGCTCGTGGTAAAAATGGCAGCACGGGATTATTTTTATTGTTTCTTTTAGGTTGTTGATGAAAATTGTGTATTGTCTTGTTTCTTTGTTTTTCTTATATACTATTGTTTTTCTGTTTGATTAACAAATAATAAAATAATCTGACATTAATTTAAATAAAATGGGGAAAAATGAACTATAAATGTGTAGTAAATTCTCCAGAAAAGTGTTAATTTTCATGAATAATAAGAAGAAAGTTGATCTTTGAACACAAATTTGCTAGGTCTTATATTACATTGGAGTGGGAACAACACTTCAGCATGTGAGCTAGCATGATGATCCTGTTGAAAAAAAAAAGAAATTGAAGAAGTTAGAATAACAAGAAGAAAGTTCATTTTAGCATGGCAGAGTTAGTTATAAAAAAGTAGACTGCAAAAAACACATTTTTTGTTTTACAAAAACCAAGTTTCCATCTCCAGAACTTACTTCCAAACCTTCAAAATTTGGCAGATGCCAACGTTGAACTATTTGAATAGCCGGAATCCATGTGAATTGAAGAGAAAATAAGAATAGATGTCTTGTTGGAACAATTTTTAAATTTCCTGTACGTAGGGAATATTTGTATATGATTGCAAATGAATTAGAGGAACAGTAAAATGATTGTATATTACATGTTGTCGCAGAAAAGATTCCACTATCGGCAGTTGTACTTGACTGTTGGAGCATGTAGCAATCTCGTACATAAAAAATTCTCTTAGAACAAGCAGATCATGCTGAGAAAATAGTTGAACCAGGAGTAAGGTTCATAAATTCTGAAAAGCGTTCAGAAATTTTGAAACACATTTCACAAAAATGAAAACAGTTCATCAAATATGAAAAGGTTCATTGAGTTTGAAAAGAGTTCATCGAATTTCATAAAAGTTCATGGAATTTGGAAAAAGTTCAGCAAAATTTGAAAAAAAAAACTTCATCAAGTTTGAAAAAAGTTCACCTATTTTGAAAAAAAGTTCATTGAATTTCAAAATAGTTCATCAAAATTGGAAAAAAGTTCATGGAATTTGAAAAAGTTCAACAAATATGGAAAAGTTCATCGAATTTCAATAAAATTTCAAGAAATTTGAAAAAAGTTCATCAAGTTTGAAAAAAGTTCACCGATTTTGAAAAAAGTTCATTGAATTTGAGAAAAGTTCATCGAAATTGGATAAAAGTTCATCAAAATTGGAAAAAAAAGTTGATGGAATTTGAAAAAGTTCATCATAATTTGAAAAAAGGTCATCGAATTTGAAAAACAGTGAATTTGAAAAGTTCCTCCAAAATTGAAAAACGTTCATAAATTTTGTAGAAAAAAATCATGAAGAAAGCAAGTTTCTCGAATGAGAAAAAAAAGAGAAGAGAGAAGAAAAACGGAAAAGCAAAAAAGCAAAAGGAAAAAGAAAAAGACATAAGAAGAAATAGGGGAAGAACTTTCAGTTTACTACAGAAGGTAAGGGCAGTAAGGTGTTTAGCTCAGCGAGTATTCACCTGGAGATCCCCGGTTCGAATCCGGGCGAGGGCATATCTTTTCTGCTTTTACGAACAGAAAAAATAGAATGGGCCGGCCCAGGTATAATACCAAGTGTACAGAGGGGGTGTGCATCGCGTACCAGATAGCCAATATTCCGCCCGTAAGGCGCCGAATAGGATTTGACCACAAAATCACTAGTTAGAGGGAATTCCTTGCATCGTTCACTCCCACCTTCTCTCGTGGTGATAAATGGTGCATTGCATGTGGGGCACTTTTCATAAACTTGATGTTCTGTGCTTTCTTCGTTCATGCTTTCTTTTCTAAACGTTTTATCTCTTTACCGTGTGTCCAAATCACGAAACATTTTCACCATTTCGTTTCTCGTGCAGAGAACTTCAAAACTAGATCCCATGCTATGAGGTTTGGGCGATTTTTTCCATGAAAACGCAAAAAAAAACCAAAAAACTGAAAACCGGAAATAGAAAAAAAGAAACCGAAAAAAGTGAAGCCGGAAAAATGGTTAAAAAACCAAAAATCGGAAGCACCTCTGTATTTTCACTTTTCTGGAACCATACCTCTGCTTTTTCACTTTTTAGGAAGCACATCTGTGCTTCACCGTGAAACACAACTCTGCTTTTTCACATTCTGAGAAGCACAATGGTGCTTCACACGGAAACACAACCGTGATTTTTCACTTCTTGAGAAGCACAGCTGTGGCAAGCACATATGCACTTCACGTCAACACATGTGTGGTTCACGAAAAAGCACAACTCTGCTTCCCAAGAGTTACAACTGTTTTTTACACCCGGTGTGCTTCACGCGAGGAAAAGAAGTAATTTTTTCCTTGAAAACCTAGGAATACATAAGGAAAAAAACCCAAGAAAAAATGCGTGAAAAATACATGTTCCCGCAGGGTTCACCTATCATGTGACCTGTAGTGATGCTGAGGCGTCAAAACCATTTGGCGTGCTGGGGCACTAGCTGGGTCTCCCCCGCAAGGGGTACCCGTGCATTAGTCGCTGCAACGAAGTATTGCCATCCAACTTTAGGTGAAGTTTGTTACTTGGGCTTTGTCCAATCTGCTTGGATTACAGTAACAATGATGTGTTGTTTCTCAGCCAAATAGAGAGTAGGTACACCTGTTCATAAAAGCGTTTACCTATATGTGAGTGGGTTGGGATTTTACTTTTCTATAAAACAATTATGAACTACACAACGTAAAGTAAAACCTTTGATTAGTTTTTAATGGAGGACTTCAGATTAGCAAAACGTGTATTTGACACTTTTCTATCACTTGTCAATCTCTAAGCATGTCCCCTAGAAAAATCTAAGCAAAAACTCTCTAAGCCAAATAAGAGAAGACACTACGTTGAATTCATACAAGCTCATAATGAAAGAGTTACATTTTTTAGCGAGCGAGCAAAGCCTTCTTGGAGCTTCCCTCTTCCCTCACCCGAGAATGATTGCCATAAAAACCGTTAATATGGCGATATGCACACGAAAAGGCACTCTAGAAGAGTCACCTTATGTGTCGTGATTACCATATATTATGGAGGCCGCTTGAAAAATGACCTTGCAGCCTGCAAATACGGAGAGGTTTGAGGCTTCGATTGGAGCTTGCTCCAAACACAATTGT